TTTTCACATAGTCCCACATTTCTTGAAGATTTTGTTCATTCCTTTTTGCGCTTTTTTCTCTGTTCTTGCCTTCTCTTTTTATTTCATTGAGTTGATCTTCGACCTCTGATATCCTTTCTTCTGCTTGGTCAATTCGGCTGTTGAAGCTTGTGCATGCTTCACAAAGTTCTCGTGTTGCGTTTTTCAGCTCCATCAATTCACTTATACTCCTCTCTATGCTGTCCATTCTCGTCAGCAGTTCGTCCAATCTTTTTTCAAGGTTCCTATTTTCTTTGCGTTGGGTTAGAACATGTTCTTTTAGCTCATTGTAGTTTCTTACTACCCACCTTCTGAAGTCTGATTCTGTCATTTCATCACCCTCCTTCTCCATCCGGTCTGGTTCCCTTGCTGGTGAGGAGTTGTGATCCCTTTCAGGAGGAGAGGTGTTCTGGTTTCGGGAGTTTTCATCCTTTTTGCGCTGGTTTCTTCCCATTTTTGTGGGTTTATCCACCTGTTGTCTGTCTCTGTCCCAGGGAGTTGGAGCTTTATGAGTTTCCGTCGCACTACTGCCTTTTCTGATTTTTCTTTCAGGTCTGACCCGCCCAACTAGCAGCAAGCCTAGCCTCTGCCTGCCCGCAGGGGCTTTGCTGAGCTGCTGTGGGCTCCGCCCAGCTGCCCTGAGCTCTTCCCTGTAGTCCTTTTTATATGGGCGTAGTTAGAACTGTCTCGGCAATGGTGGCCCCGCCTCTGTTATGGCGGACTCTCTCTGTTGTGGCAGGTTGCCTCGGCAACGGCGGGTTGCCTCGGCAATGGCAGCCTGCCTCCCTAGTGGTGGAGAGTCTCAGTAATGGCGGAAGCCCCTCCCCCACGGAGCAGGACCCTCCGGGTTCAGCTGTGCTTGGTTTGAAGGGCTCAACCCAGAGGGTTTCCAATTACTGTTTTTGTTTTCGTTGTTGTTGGGGGTGGAGGGGTGGGACCAACGGAGCCTGATCACCTGGCTCCCTGACTCAGAGTCTTTTCTTTTAAGTTGAACGACCCTGCGTTCCGGTCGCTTGTTGAAAAGGCGCCGGGATCTCCCGTGCTGCGACTCACGGAGTCGGCTCGAACTGCGGCGCTGGCTCCTGGCGGATTTTTTGCCTAGGAATCTCCTGGCCTGACTCGCTATTTCAGCTGAATCGGCAGCTCTGCTGTCTCAGGGCTCTGCTCGCCAGCTAAGAGGGCTCCCAGACCAGTGGCTTTTGTCCGGAGAACCGCAGCAACAGGGAGTGGTCACAGCAGCCGCACGGGCGGAATCAGCCCCGTGGGGGCCAAAACAGCCGCACCGGCTGGGACTGCGACACTGGCGACCCCTCTGCCTGGGTATCTCCTGGTCTGTGGGCAATAAGAGTTCGTCTGGAAATGCGGCGTCCAGTCACCCTCTGCACTTTCACTGGGAGCTGAAGTCCTGAGCTGTTCTTAGGCGGCCATCTTCCCAGCATTCCTATTTTCTATTTTTAGTAGAGACGGAGTTTCTCCATGTTGCCCAGGCTGGTTTTGAACTTCTGACCTCATGATCCACCCACCTCGGCCTCCCAAAGTGCTGGGATTACAGGCGTGAGCCACTGTGCCTGGTCAACGCTGCCATCTCTTATCCCTGTATTTCTTTGTACTTCCTATCCATTGACTTCCCTTCCTGTGCTCTTTCGCTACAAAGTCTACTTCACTGTAATCTCTGGAATCCTGGTTCCACTGCAAATAAACTATACCTCTGGTCTAGTTTATGCTCCATAACACACTCTAAAAAAGAAAAAAAAGCCTATTATTCTCATATCCTTCATCTCCATCAACTTGGTGATTATCCACCTCTCCTGTTTACATACTCTATGAAGACTTTGACCCCAGGTGTCCACCTTCCAAGAAATGCTGTTTAAATCCTCTTTAACTCATCCAAATTTGTGTACTATGGCATTAAATACGGTATTTAATTTTTATGTTTTTCTAGAATGTCTACCTTCTACCTTCTAGACATCAAACTCCCTGAGAAAAGAGACCACTTCTTATTCATCTGTTTTCCTATACCTATCCCAGTGTCTGGTATTTAGCAATGCCTAATAAGCATATACTGAAAGAGTTAAGCTTGTGATTTTGTTACCCAGCCCATATCAAATTGAAACTGCAAATAAAAAAAGAAGGTCACTAGTATGCAAAGATACACCAACCATGACACTGTGAAAATATGGATTAGTGGTTAGCTTAGAATCCAACATTTTATAAGTGGGATAAATTATACTTCTCCAAGTTCACTCCTAACCTTATTTTCTGACAGTCCTACCCTCAAATCTCATGCTATACCAAAGACAAGCCTTTCATAATTCCCAGAACAAATCGTGCTCTCTTTCACATTGGTTCACACTGGTTGTGATACATACTATTCACTTGTTCCTAACCCTTTCTTTAATGAAACACTCTAGCTGATGCCTTCTGTGTGATGGCTTACCTAACCTTCACTTAGGCACATCTTCCAATATTTCTCATTAAACTTTTTTTGAAAAAACAGTTCAATAATCTTCAGTAAATTTTACAGTTGTGCAGCCATCATAAGCAAGTTTTAGAACTTGTCACCCAGGCTGCAGTGCAGTGGCACGATCTTGGCTCACTGCAACCTTCACCTTCCTGGTTCAAGAGATTCTTCTGCCTCAGCCTCCTGAGTAACTGGGACTAAAGGGAAGTGCCACCACGCCTGGCTAATTTTTTGTATTTTTTTTTTTTTTTTTTTTTTTAGTAGAGATGGGGTTTCATTGTGTTAGCCAGGATGGTCTTGATCTCCTGACCTCATGATCTGCCTGCCTCAGCCTCCCAAAGTGCTGGGATTACAGGCGTGAGCCATCACAACTGGCCTGTTTTCATTTCTTTTGTGTAGATAACTAGAAATGGAATTGCTGAGTCATACCATAAATTTATGTTTAACTTTGTAAAGTGGCTGCACGATTTTACAATCCCACCAGCAGTATATAAGGACTCCAGTTTCTACATCCTTGCCAATACTTGGTATTGTGTCTTTTTAATTAATAGTTATTAGGTTGGTGCAAAAGCATGTCTTTTGTGGCTTTTAATGGCATAAAATGCAATTACTCTTGCACTAACCTATGTTGTAGTGGGTTGCAGTGGTATTTCATTCCTGAATGACTAATAATGAGCATCTTTTCACATGCTTATCACCCAATTACATATACTCTAAGGAACCTCATATAAAAGGAATTATATAAAATTTGTCCTATGATTGGCTAATTTCACTTAGCATAATGTCTTCAAGCTTCATGCATGTTGCAACATGCATCAAAATTTCCGCCTTTTTAAGGCTAAACAATGTTCCATTGTATATACTACATTTTATTTATCAACTGTCAATGGACACTGAGGATGTTTCTACCTTTTGGTTACTGTGAATGATGCTGTTGTGAACATGGATGTACAAATACCTGTTCAAGTCCCTGCTTTCAATTCTTTTGGGTGTGTACCCAGAAATTGATTTGCTGGATCATATGGCAATTATATATTTAAGATAATATCATACTGTTTTCCACAATGGCCATACAATTTTACATTCCCACCAGCAATGCAAAAACGTTCTCATTTTCCCACATTCTCATCAACATTTGTTAATTTGTTTTTTTTTTTTAGTAACAGCCATCTAATGTGAATGAAGTGGTATCTGATTGTGCTTGTGATTGACATTTCCTGAATCATTAGTGATTTTCAGCATATTTTCATATGCTCATTGTCCATTTGTATATCTTCTTTAAAGAAATGTCTTTTCAAGTCCTTTGCTTATTTCTGAATGTTTGTTTTTTTGTTATTGTGTTGTAGGAGTTTGTCAGCTATATGATTAGCAAATATTTTCTCCTATCCTATGAGTTGCCTTTCATTCCACTGATGATGATCAACTGTGATTTTACCTTTGACTTGAACTCAAAGCTAGATTTCAGACTTGAAAAATACACATATTAGTAATAACATTCAAGTTAACATGCTATTAAAGAAAGAACTGCAAGGTCAAATCTCATTAAATGATTAGGATGAGAAGGATATAATTGATGGTGATATAACCATAATTTTCTTAGAAAGCTGAGTATTTCTTTTCCAAAATGCTTGAGATCACATGTGTTTCAGATTTCAAACTTTTTTTCAGATTTTAAAATATGTGCATATATATGATGAGATTATCTTGGGGATGGGACCCAAGTCTAAAGAAAATTCATTTATGTTTCATGAAAACCTTATATACATAATCTGAAGGTAATTTTATACAATGTTTTTAATAATTTTGTGCATGAAACAAAGTTTTGACTGCAACCCATCACGTGAGGTCAGGTGCCAAATTTTCCACTTGTGGCTTCACGTCAGCACTCAAAGAAGTTTCAGGTTTTGGATTTCTGGATTAGAGATGCTGAATCTGTGTATGTATGTGTGATATGTGTGTGTATATATATATATATATATGTGTGTGTGTGTGTGTGTGTGTGTGTGTGTGCGCGCACACACACATATATATGTATGTATGTCAGGTTCTGTTCTAAGCATAAATTATCTCAATCTTTATAACACCACTGAGGAGTATTCCTCAGTGGTGTTATATAATACTCCTCAGGAGTTACATGATACTTCTCAGTGGTGTTATAAAGATTGAGATAATTTATGCTTAGAACAGAACCTGACATACATACATATATATATATATACACACACACACACATACATACATATATATACACATACATACACATAGTGGTATTTTAGTATAGGGTATTCCTCAGTGGTGTTATAAAGACTGAGATAATTACCACTATAATACCACTATACTAAAAAAGAAATTAAAACTTAAAACAATAACTTGCCTACATCATACAGCTAATACTCAACTATAGCCAGGTTATAAACCCTAACAGTATTGATTTCATAATAATTAAAAGATGTCCAATTTATAGGGTGACCTATTTTAGAACAACATAATAAGGAAAGATAAATATTTAATCAGTTCTTACCTCTTCAGGCAGTTCACTGTACATAGTTTCAGAGGTAGACAATAAAAATATAGGTGAAAATGATGGTATATCTTGTAGCAATGTCAGAAAAGTTGCTCTCACAGTTTCACTGACAGCTTCCCACCAATCCCCAATGTGAGGCATGTAAACAATGCTAGGTACTGTTCTTCGAGCTTCACGAAAAATCTAATTAAGGAAAAAAAAACCAACATTAAACAACTCAAACTGATTAAAGTCTACCCAGTTATCTCCAAATATATGAAATATGTCAGGCATATTACAGTCATTAGTTTCAGCCTCAAAATTTTAGTTCAAGATATGATGCACAAGCCTTATACAACTTCATTGTACCCCTGCCCCACCAAAAAAAATGTTTTGCCCTTTAATTATTCCTAATCAGTATATATCAACAGTTGAAGGTATCACATTGCTCAACATATCTAGCATGTAAAGATAATAAAGCAAAACACCACTGTAAAATATGCTGCAAATAGAGATAAACATGCACCTATGTCACTCATGTAATATTAGTAAGCTTTACGCAAAGAGCATAGCTTATGTTTTTGAGTGCCTTGACTAAAACGATACAGCATATAAATAATCATTTTAACCAAGATGTACCACTCTAAAGCTCAAAATTAATGAACTACCTGTTGAACCAGTAATTCACCTCCTCCCATTATCTTAGTTCAATATTTCATAAAATAGTCACAAAATACTCTGATTTATCTAAAGAGCAAATGATTAGCAAAGAGCTTTGAGACACTCCACTGTTAGAAAATACAAAATGAAGTTTTCCTCAGGTGTTAAAAAGAGTCCTAACCATAGTTTCAATAACGCTCTGCCAACACACATCAATAGGGACCAAGTTGGCTACTAGTAAGCTGACAAGCTGAATTAATGTCCCTTACTTATTAAGTCAACACTTTAATAGCCCATCAACAAATTCTGACATGTTAACAGGACACCTCTCACTTTCTTTAACAAGTTTAGTTATAAAAATCTGACTTTCTTCCATTTTGAGAATTCTGCTCCTAAAATGGTCTACTTATTTTCCCTTATTTTTAACACATTTCAATTAGCCTATATAATACACAAGACATAGAAATAAGAATTTAGCCAGGTACAATGGCTTGTGACTAATCCCAGCACTTTGGGAGCCCAAGACAGGCAGATCACTTGAGGTCAGGAGTTCAAGACCAGCCTGTCCAACGCGGTGAAATTCCATCTCTACTAAAATAAAATTAGCCAGGTGTGGTAGTGCACACCTGTAGTCCCGAGTGCTGAGGTAGGAGAATTCTCTTGAACCTGGGAGGCAGAGATTGCGGTGAGTCGAGATCACACCACTGCACTCCAGCCTGGGAGACAGTGAGACTTCATGTCAAAAAAAAAAAAAAAAAAAAAGGAAGAATTTAATATTTAAAATGATTGCGATTATCAGAAACTACCCTAAGAATCAAAAGAATTATTTTTCTTTAATGAATAAGCTTACCACTTCCATATATTTTTAACAGCATATTTATACAGCTTTAAATCTTCTGTGTAAAATAAATTATACTGCCAATTCAATAATAAACCAGATGAAAGAGGCTCAAATAATTGGAAAAAATGTATACGTTATGATCACTCACATCAAAAGTAATATTTGCTCCTTCCCTTTCTTAATATTTGCATATCCACCAATCCAGAACAGTTGTACAGTACAACTCCTTCAGGACTCTCAAATTTTGACCTTTTCTGCAAACACGTACCCTCCTATCCTGGATCTTGGAAATCCAAGGATTTTTTTTTCCAAAGTTCTTGTAGAAAATTCATAAGAGAAAAACAAGCATAAATATTGGCAAAAGGAAGGAACCATGCAGAGGCACAAAGGCAACTGAGGCATTTATTTAAAAAAAAAAAAAAATTACATGCCACCCAAATCAGGCATGGTTATGTGGAAAACAGTGACCAGCTCCTTTTGTTACTTTCCAGTTCCCCCCTCTGTGCTGGTAAAATGAGAGACAGTGAGGAAGGAAAGAAAGGTGATCATATGAAAAAGACTAACCAGCTATAGGCTACTAAGGAACCTCACAAAACCAATCACTTAATTCGGCCATGCAAGTTACCACATATATGCCCAGGGTATGAAAGAGATAGGAAAACATGCCTTTAAAAAATGAAATTTTTCCTTTCATTCTAGTACTTCCATGTTAGATTTTCCAGGAACATGTGTTGAGAACTATTAACAAGTATCAAAGAGGATGAGTACAGCAACAAAAGGTTAAGTGAGAATAATGTGACAGAGTCAGAAGTTAACTACAGGTGTCTTAACTGTATTTGCAAGGGTGAACTACATACAATCATCACCAGCTCTAAGAGTTGAGGTTTGTTTTTTTCTATTTCTTTTATCCTCCAATTGTCTCAAAACTAACAAATTGAACATGATATCCTACTGACCCTATTAAAAAATTTAGAAATTCCACATTTTCAAAAAATTTCTTTCTTATTTTCTTCTCATCTTCTCAAAATTAACAAATTGAATGTGACACCCTACTGACCCAATACAAAAATATGGAAACTTTTTATTTCCAAAGTCTTTAGGAAAATGTCCTTCTTGACAATAAAATAAAATAAAATAAAAATTAAACTATATTTGAAAATCTGTAGGGGAATAAAATCAGGCAAGTCTAAGATGAACATGAAAAAATAAAAAGACTTTGCCTTTCTGATCTATGAGTGCATAATTACATGAATTGAGAATTAACCTAACTACATGAAATACCAACATCTATGAAATATTTTTGTAATTTTTCTCCTAAGTCTTTAGTTAAAACCTATCTTTAATTTCTAGAAAAACTAAAAAGCACTACTAAAACAAGCTTTCTTTTTAATTCCTTATTCTATGTTCTTAGAATATTAAAATAAACTTTTATATTTTCTTTAAATTCATAACCAATCTGTTCTAATTCCCATTTTGTAATAAAAATTCAAAAAGAACAGAGTTTGAGTATAGCATTTAAAAGTTCTTAGTGTATAAGCAACAGGGAAAAAAAGTTTAATCCTATTATGATTTTTTTCTGTAAAATAAAAACAGCTCTTCAGCAGTCTTTTTCCGTAAAATAAAAAACAGCTCTTTTACTCTATACTTTAAAATATAACTTTTAAATATAACTTTTAAAGTATAGAGTAAAATACACTCTGTGAAATCAAATACCAGATAATTCAGAGTAGAAAAATATAGCCTAATTTCAATGAAGCGGCAACTGGCTTGGGAACAAGTGATGCCATTTGAGAACTAGAAAAATACTCACCTATAGGGTGTCTTGGATTGGTGGATGTGCAAGGTGTAGTAGAAAACAGAAAAACTGTTATAGAAAAAAAAAAAAGACAGTAGGCCAAATTACTGAACCAACCGTTTCAAAACACCTTTGACATGACCAGCACTCTTGCACAAGTAAAATGAACAAACGCCAACATATGTGAACTGTTCATTTTGATTCTTTATTACAACATTATACTCCGTTTCCTTCTGACCTCCTTCTTGCCATGGACATCATAAGGACCTTATAAAACTAATTTTTTTTAACTTTCTTTATTTAAAAAAAAATCACAAACTACTTCTTCTAAATATTAAAAACATTAAAGGCAAAAATCAGGCCATTGAAATTAGAAGTATCCATACAAGGAAGCACTCATGATATAAACTGCACTTACAGTTACAAGAGTTCTAATCATCTCAAAAGCTAAACTTTGAAGTCAGCATTTTAGCCATCAAATTAAAATGTTCCGTCCATGAAAATTCAGCGTATTTTTACATTAAGAATTTAGAGTCCTACAACAAGCCATTTTCTTTAGAAAGTGAAAACTATAAAACTTTTAAACACAGATGTGAATAAAGCAGAAAGCTCAAAGCCAGTATCACTTTACTTGCCTAAAGGGAGCATTATAGGAAAGAGAGAAACAACTTTATGTCATTTAAGAAACTTTAGAACTTGTCTCAGTCACTTAATAGTATTATAAATATATTAAAATTATAAAGCACAGGTTAAAAAAAATATTGGGAGCTAAAACATCCTCGATGTTTTTTATAAAAATTAAAATAAGTTTAATTCTTTGTGCCATGCTATCAGAAACTATTAAAATAATATCTGTGCATTGCTGGTGGCTTTATACCATTTCTATCCCTTTATTTACATTCCATTTATCTAAGATTTACTGAGAATCTATTGTGAAAAGAAGGCACTGTCTGAATTCTAAAGATTCAGGATTCAATAAGTAAGGTACAAATTTCTTTACATGCACACAAAATCAGCTTGTTATAAAACACATCTGTACCAGTTTCTGAACTATGGCAGTAACACAAATTAGCATTTTATGAAAATTAAATCACTTAAATTCTTTTTTTAATATTTTCATTCCCTAAATACTTCAAGAATTTCAGTAAGTGTGATATACTCCAGGTCAGGATAATTTAACTTGTCTACAACCAAAAAAAAAAAGTATTGCTGTGGAAATACTCAGATACCCATGTGAGCAAACATAAAAGCAACCAAAGTGTACACAGACTGCTATAGAGAAACCCAGAAACCTAAAAGCACAAACACAAGAGCATCCAAAGTATACACACAAGAAAGTACATTAATACCTTCATGCTATTCGATCAAAAAGAGCATCCCCTGGGAAATTCTAGATAATAATTTCTTTCTGGGGAAAGAAATGCATTTAAATTTTCACCAATAAAAGACCTTATTCACCTTTAGAAATTATTCCCAACACCACACAGTACCTAAACTCCAAAGCTTTTCAAAGACCATATATAAACGTATTAATTGAATCAAACCTCTCTAATAATTAAAAATATAAAATAAAGCACACTTATCAGTCCCTTTTTTCTAAATCAACAACAGAAATACACAGGAGGCAAAAATTATACTTGAGTATGTCAGAAAAGGAGAATCATAGTTTTGTTTTGTTTTTTAAGAGTGTTAATACTAAAGGTCTTTTACTACCAATAATTAACATTTCCTGTCTTGTTGCAGGACTCAATAACTACTTGTGAACTTAAGGGGGCAACTATAAATCTTTCAGGCTATGCCAAGGGTTCTCATTCTCCTTCCAAAGCCTTTAGCATGTGAAATGCTCAATAACATATGTGTGTACACACACACCCATGCAAATTTGTTTCAGTTATAAACGCTGGACTA